TAACCCTGGGGAATTTTTACACATCAAGCAACGATTTTGGGGTTCCATTTCATTTCTCTTCCAAAAAAAAAAAAAGACCCCGGTCCTGAGGTCAGGTATTTACATTTCAGCCCAGTGTTTGTCGTAACTTTGGAATAGGGGGCCGGGGGGGGGGGGCGACTGCCAGCAGGCAGACAGTGTTTATCGCAGCACAGAGACAGTCGGGAATGTCGGCTGGGTGGGTTGCAGAGTCCGGCTCAGCTATTTACATTAGAATCTGCACATTGTCAGATCTTCAGCGAGGGGCTTTCGGCCGGTCCGTTGGTCGGTCCCTGGCCTGGGTTTTAATTTTGCAGAGCAGCTCGGTTTCCACCATTGCAATCTAAAGCTTGAATCAGAATTCAGAATAATGGGGGGGAAAGAGTTGGAAGGGACCTTGGAGGTCTTCTAGTCCAACCCCCCCCCTGCTCAAGCAGGAGACCATTTCATACAGAATAATGGGGAAGAAGAGTTGGAAGGGACCTTGGAGGTCTTCTAGTCCACCACCCCCCTGCTCAAGCAGGAGACCATTTCATACAGAATAACAGGGGAAAAAAGAGTTGGAAGGGACCTTGGAGGTCTTCTAGTCCAGCCCTCCCACTCAAGCAGGAGACCATTTCATACAGAATAACAGAACAACAAACAGGATAACAGAGTTGGAAGGGACCTTAGAGGTCTTCTAGTCCAACCCCCTGCTCAAGTAGGAGACCCTATACCATTCCAGACAAATGGCCGTCCAGTCTCTTCTTAAAAACCTCCAGTGATGGAGCACCCACAACTTCAGGAGGCAAGGAGTTCCGCTGGTTAATGGTTGTAACTGCCAGGAAATTTCTCCTTAGTTTTGGGTTCTTAATTTAAGAGACTTTGGGGATGGGGATCTTAACAGAGCTTAACGCAGAGGCGGCCTCTGTGGGTCTCCTCATCCTGGCTTAGGAAACAGAGTCGCTGCTCTTCCTGCTGCTGATAATGCAAGGGGTCCTCAACGTACGGCCACAACTGAGCCCCAAATTTCCCTTGCAAAGCGAGACATTTGGTTAAGGGAGTTTTTTCCCCTTTCTTGCCACAGTGGCTAAGTGGATCATGGCAATTGTGAAGTAAGTCACAATTGTTAAGTGAAAGTGGCTTCTTCGTTGACTTTGCTTGTCAGAAGGTCGCAAAAGGAGATCACGTGACACCTCAGCCCCCGGGATGCTGCGACCGTCGTAAATACGAATCGATTGCCAAGCGTCTGAATTTTGATCACCTGAACGTGGGGTCGTGCTGCCATGGTCACAAGCGTGAAAAACGGTCATAACTCAACATTTTTCAGTGCCGTTGTAACTTTGAACGGTCACTAAATGAACTGTTGTACGTTGAGGATTACTTTTAATAACTCTGAACCAGTCAGGCCGAGCAATTACAAAAACTTGTTTTCCTGCAAAAATATTTTCAGCTCCCTCCTGCCAAAGTCCAGCTTGTCTCTCGGGGTTGGCCAGGTTGAAGGAGAAGAATCAAAATTTTGCTCCATTGTTTTTTTCTTTTCTTTTTTGTTTTTTAAGCTTGCCTAGTTATCCTTTGGGGAAGGAGGGGGGGAAAAGACTGAATATCCATCAGTCTCCTTGCTTATTTTAAGCATCAAGTTAGACTTTTTTT